ATCACTGGAATGCAAATAGTGGCTGCCTCCTTTTGGGGTGGTTGTGGGTGATATTCCTTTAAATTATATTTTGTGTACTTAAAATCTTTCTGTAATGGACATGTGTTTTCTCATTATCAGAAGGAAAAAGAAACTAGTGTCATTTCGGAATTGGAGAGCCTGGTAGGTGAAATACAGCCAGTCAGGAGGAACTTAGATTCTTAGAATCAGGTCGAGGATCTGTACAAGAAAATCAATTCAGCGAGGAAGTGCATTCAGGTACCGTGGGTGGAGTGTTGGGTTGCGGTAAGCTGGTCCATCCAAAGCTGTGCTTTCCTGCACAGTAGTCATTACTCTGTGGCTATTTAACTTACACTTAAATTAATCAAATTGAATTAAATTTAAAATTTAGTTCCTCAGTTGCACTAGCTGCATTTCAAGTGCTGGATAGCCATATGTAACAAAGTCACTACTATATTAGACAGTACAGATAGAGAACATTTCTATCATTGTAGAAAATACCGTATCACAGCAAGCACAGGATCTACAATCCTGAAGAATGAACATCAAAGAATGGGATCTCCAGGCAGGCACCCGAAGAAGGAAGGCTTGGGTAACGAGACTGAGCCACCTGAATCTAGACAAGGAGCTCAGCTGTTGAGCTGGACGAATGGACTTGACTCTCTTGTCCAAGGCCTCCTGAAGCCCTACAGGGGATTATGCAATATGAGTAACAACCCAAACTGGTATCTGTGTTAAACTGCGTACTATGTCCTGATTTGTTGTAAGTGGTTGGGGGTCAGGGGGTAAGGGGGCTGTAGAAAAGATTTCACGGGGCAAGAATGAGACAGAGAACCTAGTCCGCGAGGGAGTATTACTAGGTTGTAAATAGTGGTGGTCGGAATACTGGATGCTTGTCCTCTTTCTCTCATTTCAGTGCCTTTCCATAGCCTTTATGATACAAAAGTATGCATCATGATGATAGTGGCCTCACTCCCGCAATGATTAAGTGTATTTCAGCATCTTTTTTTACATATTAAGGGAATAAGTTGAAAGGCAAGCAACTAGTTTATTCAAACTGAGCAGGAAAAAGATACAGTCTCTAATGATGAATTTCCCCGTGTGAAATAATGTTATATTTCTCAAGCAAATATGACATAATGTGCACTGAAAACAAGTGAAACATGTACGGATACAATCCCAAGTACACAGAAAGGTGTTGATGGGCTTGTAGCACCGAGTCGTTTGGGTTAGACGATTATAATAGCAGCCTCCTTATACTTTTGGTGAGATGGTAAGTTAATGATGTAGCCGTTAATTTGAATTTAGCAGACGTTTTAAATATAGGTTTCTCTTACGGAGACAAAAGTTGCAATTTAAAGCTCTTTGGTGGTCTAAAAACAGCTTAATTCTGTAGTAGCATGGTAATAAGTGCTAATCCAGCTTATGCCGTGATTGTAGTGTGTCATGTTTGTGAAAGATTGCCCAACTGCTTTCTCTGGGTTTTATGTTAATTTAAAAATATTAAACGTAAAACCTTATAACATCTTCATGCTGAGATAAACTGTTCAATTTAACTTGTGCTCAAGCAGCAGCTGTCAGGAATTACCGTGTTCCTAGTGGTTTTTGCTGTCACCTTGTGCCCTTTCCTGCCAGACGCACAGCGTGGGGTGATAAAGCTCACCTTGTTAGGATTTGTTGCTTAAATAACACCTGAGGCAAGGTGAACATCAGGAGCCTAGGGATTAGTTGCTGATGGAGTGATGTCATTCATTGTATTAGAAACTTTCTTTAATTGATGGAAGGAAGCCAAGTAAAAATTGCCTATAAATCATACCTGTGTTCCTTTTGTGGGCACATTCATTACTTATTTGGGGGAGTCACTGAGCTCAGTATTTGAGGAATTGCTTATTTGTCCAATTTAACTACCATTTTACAAGTGAGAAGGCAAAGAGAACTGTTTTATTAATGACAGAGCTAATTTCCACAATTTAGGAGTATGAAGACTAATTCAAGATTAGTAATAAAAATATAATGAATTTTCTGTTGATGACTGACCAAATGAAAGGAAGTGTTGCTATGGACAGTCCCAAATGGTTGATATTGTGAAAATCATTGCCATTTCACTTCTGGATGTATTGCATTGTTTCATTTGGGAGTTTTATTTGAAAGACTCGACTTTAGATTTGGATTCCTTGATTACGGATCAGCTGGTACTCAGGAGGAGAGGAGGTGTGTGGTAGAAGAATGAAGGGCTCACCTTGGTTAAGCATTTTCTGCAGATGGTCCACCCTGAGGATAATTTTCATGTGGGAAATTAACAATTAGATTATGACGAGAAGTACCTATATGATGGGTTTATTGTTTATGGCATGTAGTATAGTTTTCCTTTCTACTTATGGCCATTTTGTGGCATATTCCCTCATAGTTTTATAATGTATAACAACAAAATATTGCAATACTACATCAGTGAATTGCAGTATACCAATCACTTAATTGTTAACATTGGCACATTTTCTCTTTCTCTATGTAAATATATACATATGAGTATTTGTTATTAGCAGCCTTTTGATGGAACAATTTAAGAATTAATTGCAGACATCATGTAACTTCACATAAATAATTCAACAGGTATCTTCTAAAAAATGAAGGTAATCTCCTATATAAAGCCAATAAAATTATTAAACTTAAGAAATTTAAGACTAATGAAAATTTACAAGCTTATATTCAGCCCATATTCAGTTTCCCTGTTGTCCGTCTAATGTCCTTTATAGCAGTTTTTCCCAGTACTAGAGTGGCATTTTCATTTTGGGGTCTCTTTATTTTCCTTTAGATTTTTCGTTTTCTTTTATGACATTGACCTTGGAGATCCAGACCAGCTATTTTTCGAGATATCTGATTGTTTCCTCATGGCCAAATTCAGATCAGGCATTTTTGGCAGATTTGCATCTTTCTCATTGGTGATTTGTGTCTTTTCAGTGTATTATATTGGGAAATACATGATATCAGTTTGTCCCATTATTGGGCAAATTTAGTATGATCACCTGGGTAAGTTCATGTCTACCAAATTTCTCCATTATAAAGGTGCCATTTTTTTCTTTGCTATTAATAATTAGCAAAATGGCTACATTTAAGTTTTTCTACCTAGTGTGTGAAAAACATTGAACATGCTCAAGTCGTAATGATTCAGAATGAGCCATTGCTTGCAATAGTGTGTATGTTGCCGGTAGGAAGTGGGGGAAGGAAGTAGGGAGAGTTACCCAATAAGCAGACCCACAAGTGGCCATCCAGTTTCTTTTAAGGAAAATATTGACTGAGATTAATGTTTTGTTCTTTCTACTAAGGATAAGGTTTGTAGATAAGCAAATATCTTCACATTTTAGAATTTTCAACCTAAGTTCTTGAAAGACTTATACTTGGTGGTGAGTGGGAATATTTTTGGTTAAAATAGGGCATTTTTAACCAGTGTTTTTCCATTTGCTTTAGTTAGGTACACATCGACAATTTAAACAGTAATGCATCTCCTTAGTAAGATTTTTTTTTTTCCTTTAAAGCAACAGACCGTGACATTAATACAGCAACGTGGGTATAAAAGGGAGATCACTGCTTTTTGGTTGTAGGTGCCTTTTTTAGCCCATGAAGAAGACACGTGAATTCCTATTTATGAAACATGCACTTACTATGTAATCACTCTTCTTATGTGAAAGGCTAGTGCTGCGGATCTTATAAACACCTGAAGTTAGCCATTTGGCTTGTCAGCAAGGGAGAATTTATAGTAGTTGTAATCATGGTAATAATGAGGGTGATATTTTGTATTTATTACGTACAGAAAAACGCATTTGCAATGTAAGCCGTCCATGACCAATTCTTGTCCGTGGCGTAATGGAAAGCACTTCGGGCCGAGCAAACCAGGAGCCCCGGCTTTGCCACTTTTCACCAGTGTGATTCCAGGAACAACTCTTCACCTTCTTGAACCTCATTTTTTAGAATGAGAATTAAAGCTGTAACGGTCAAATGATGCTGCGTTATGTTATAAAGGTGGCATTCCATCAGAATTGTGCCATCTTAATGTACTTGGCTGCCCGGGGACTGTCACTTGTGCCTCGTGTGTCCATACATGGTAGGCACCTCATTAGTGAAACATTTTCAGGGTGTCCCAGACAGTTATTTACTCCTTTCTGTTTGTTCCTTTAATACTTTGCATATGGCACTGGTACAGGGAGCATTCAGCCTTGTTCATCTTTCCTGTTCTTTCTGGCTGGACGCTGGCACACAGTAGGCGTTTAGTAAATGTTTGTGGAATGAGTGAGTTGATAGACACTTTCACTTATAAACATGGATAGGTAAGTTTTAGGTTTCCTTCCCCTCCCCAAAGAAAAGGAATCAGTCAACCTTCAGTTTTTAAATATTTATGTGTTCTGTAGGGGTTTTACAGATTGTGTATCTATTGCCATTAGCAGTCCAGTAGCGGAGAAAAAAATGAGAAAACCCCCCCAAAATATTGCAGAATAGTGAAAAAAAGGGAGGGGAGCACAGCAAGAAAACATGCCAAGAGAGAAAGACCACAGTAGATAGGTCTATTGCATAAATCAAAAGGGTTTATGTCAGAACATGAGCATGTGCCATTCCTGCTTGTATATTGAATTTCAGTAGTTGGTTGCATAAAGAAGTAAAGTGTAATGAAACTGGCAAGCAAAGTATTCCCCAGTCAGCCTTATCTTTGTTCCATTTGTCCTTCAGATAGAGCTTTTCTTGGCTTTTTCAATAAAATCCATCCAGCTTTTTTTTCTTTTGCATCTCTCAGTAACGGAGCTGAGAAGGCCAATGAGATTCGGAGCTTTTATAGTTCTTAGCAGCTGCTTTTTCAGAGATCAAAACTTAGAATGCTGCTACATGGTATTAATTCGTAACCATTGATGTTTTTCTGGGGGTAGGATGGCGGGGGGCAAGGAAAGAAGGTCAAAGGATGACCCCCTTCAAGCATGCCCGGGACAGTAAAGCCTAATTTCCTTATTTCCTAGGATCCTCTTTGCAAGCTCAGTGCTTAACCTGACCGAACTGGCTGCCCTTCGGCCTGACCTTGGGAAACTGAAAAAGATTCTGTACTTCCACGAGAACCAATTGGTATATCCTGTCAAGAAATGTCAGGAGAGGGATTTCCAATATGGATACAACCAAATTCTCTCATGGTAGGTATCGACTGTATCATTATATTTAGTCCTTTGGTACCTTTTTCTTTATAGGTGGTTAGCTTTTAAATCTGGAGACCTATTGTACACTTATTTTAAAGCACCTTAAAGTAGGTGGCAAATGTTCAAACATACCTTCCATGGTAGTAATTACTTGTGCCTCTGCAGTATATGTATAAGATCACAGCTAATGCTTTTATAAAATATGTATATGTAACAATCTAATTATAGGTTGCACTAATTATCTAACTTTTCTACCACATTCACAATAGAATCACAGGGTTCACAGGGACCACCTTTGCCCCTTGATTCTATTATCCACTGTTTAAGACATTCTTTCAGAAAAGGGCAGCCAGTCTGCTCTTGTTTGCCAGCCGCTTTCAGTGATTCCAGCTAAAATCACAATCGGATTTTCAGTGGAAAAACAAAAAATAAGGCCTAATGGAGCAAGGGGTTTTTGTTCTTTTTTTATCATTTGTAAGAGAAAACTATGGAAAATGAATCTTGAGGTAGTTGTTGCTATTTTTCCCCCCCTCATTGAGTCTTCAGAAATTGCGCAGCCTTAAAATACCATGACATTTCAAAGGTGATGGTCCTTCTCTATTGTTACTTCAGCACAGTGCATCTCCTGAAGCCTAGTTAATGAAAGAAGTTAGTAACAGCTCTGGAGCGGCTTCGCCATGGATCCTGTTCCCATGACCGCAGCCATCCAGCGGAGGAAGGTTGGCCGTACTTGAGTACTTTTTTCACTCACCTTTTTAAGCAGTTATTAGCAGTTGGGACTCATGATGTGTTTAAAGAGACTCCCAACTCTTGCAAAGTATATTCCGTACTTTAGTTGACATAGAAAAGCAGCTCTGTGGTAACACTTCTGTGTTTTGAGCATTTTGTAAATGTTTTTCTGCAATCATTTTTACAAGCAGCTTCCATTGTGAAGTAGCAGTGCTATCAAAATAGCGTGGAACTGCTCCCCATCAAATGTCTCGTAAAAAAGCAACCATTTTAGAATTTCATAATAAAATTAAAATACTTTATTTTATATTGAAACAGAGAAGAGAGAAAGATGTTTTAAAAACAAAAATAAAATCATTTTGTGCTTTATCAATATGGAAAACATTTGTAATATACTTTTGATTTCTTGAATTAGCATCATTCTTTTCCTCAGATAGTGTGTGTTTATTACCCTTGAGAAATAACTGGGGGGAAAAATTAAGCCTATTTTTCCCTTTATGGGTGGCTTTAAAGTTAATGGAAGTTACACTCACTCATATCAGGGAGGAAATGCATGAAAAAGAGCATTTCTGTAAACTATCTTGGATCTTTAATTTAGCAGAGACTGGGTTTTTAAGAATGTAAGTAGCTGGCTTGAATGCAGATATTTGGGAAAAAAAAAAAAAATTTAGCTTACTGCCCCTCATCTCTCTCTTTCATAAAAGATTGTTTTTGCTCAGAGGGAATGAGACTATAAAAACCGGTACATGATTTTTCAGCATTTCTCTCCTCAAGAGGGTAAACTGTTAGACAAGTTTGGGGAGAAAGAAGTGGACTTGATCATCCGTTGGCTTGTTAATGAGAAAAAGATGGTTCAGAGTTGTCCAGAGGAAAAATAAGAGTGTCAGAAAGCAGCCCTGGTCGGATTCCCTTCAAGAAGAATGACTCCCGCTTCCTCGGATGTTTCTGTAGTTTTCCTGCTGACTCCTGCTTTTGCTGGCACTGGTAGATTTCTTTCCAGACCGTGTGCGTTCGGGACGTTCGAGATGACTGACATAAGCACTCACCTTAAAGAGAGGTTTCACTCACCCTCTGACTTACGAACACAGGTCGTAACTGTATATTATGACCTGTGGGTCGCTGTTACAATATGTGACAGATGGTGAAAACAGACTAGCTGTAAAACATCCTTCAACTTTGGTATATTATTGCATTGGCTTCCTTATTGCACGGTGTTGTGTCAGCTCTTTTGTGACATTCTTTTGGATTATCCATGTTGTAATCACCCCTATCCCCAAATCAGCACTAGGTCACAGCTGGGAAAAAAAAAACTTGTATGGAAAGGCGGTTTTGTGGGACAGGCATAGAGGTGGCCGGTCAACGTTCTTTCGTTGGTTTTTCATTCCTCTTTGTATTAATAATAGGGACTTTAGGCATCTCAGTAAGTGTGAATTAAACCAAACTGCGGATCTGCTATGGTGTGTATTCCTGTTCTGTAAGCTCTGCTTACTCATCTGTGTTTTGCAGTCTGTGGACTCACTGTCTTCTTTCAGTTTTCTTGATCTATGTTTTTAAGGAGAAACAAAACTGTTTTTACTGGATCCCTTCTTATCAAAGCATTTATTTTATTTTATTTTTTATTTTATTGTTGAAAGGATAGCATATGTCCCCGCTTTTCTCCCCATTGTCCCCCTCCCCCCGGCACCCCTTCCCTGCCCAGACCTTGAGATCTAGTGACACCGAGACACTGAGTTATTGCTTAAAGCAGCGATTTTCAACCTTTGTCATTGCATGGCACATGTAAACTAATTACTAAAATTCTGCAGCACACCAAAAAAGCATCATATATTTTGCCAATTGTACCCAAAAAAAGTAGGTATAATTGTGATTCATTCACACCAGACGGTTATTGTTATATTGGCTGCTGTCACTTTTAAATTTGACAGTCTAAGGGAAAAGAAGTCAGTGCCCCTGACGAAATGATCAGGTATTGCATGTTAGAAATTCTTGTGGCACACCAGTTAAAAATTGCTGGCGTAAAGCAAAGAGGTTCATTTAAAAAAAAAAAAATCAAAACAGTGATTTATTGTCAGTTTTTTGACTCATAAAGGGAACATAGTACATATTTATACTTTATACAGGATGGGGCAAAAGTGGGTTTCCATCTGTTCATATAGAAAATAATATAATAATTGATAAATAACAATACAAGAATATAAACTCTGTGTTTTGTGTACTCACAACTGTGTTTATGTTTTATACAGCCCTCACCCATGATTAACATTTGTGTTTATTGGTTTCCAAGAAAATGTTCTGATATATTCATGAAAATTCTGAAAATTTCTGATATGTTTATGACACACAAACTTTGTTTTCACATGGCCTTAAAACTCTGTATTTTTTATTGTTTTTCATTTTTAAAAAGATTATGGGAGGAGCACAGTCTTTTCATGGAAAGCAGTAACTAATATTTATTTTGTTTAATTCTGAAAGTTCATGGTATTGTAGTTCTTTATAATGCATTCCTTTAGGTCATCATTTCTACCAATTTCTTCTACTTCTCTGACTATTCCAAATAACATAGTGAAATAAGTTGTTTGTAGAGACCCTATATAATCCCTCCTGTATAGCCCCAGAACTTAAAAAACCTAAGTTTCTTGAAGCAAAGGTTAAAACAAGAAATAGATCTTAACCACGTATTTTTAAGGTATGCTCTAGTATGAAGCAGCTTTATCTGAATTAGTCTCCTTGAAGGTAGTGAAAATATGGCAGACATTCTGTTCTCAGCATTATGGAATAAAACAACATCCATCACTGACACAGAAGCCGACATGGTGGTTGGGCCACAAAGAAAAAAGTCCTACTGTACTTACTGTTGTTGATAACGTAGAAAGCTCCTGACATTGTGGAAGAATATGCTTGTGTTTGAAGCCTCACAGGATAGTATTAAATCATTTAATTCCTCTCTAGCCTTTCCTCCCTGATGCCAACAATCCAACTTCGCATGATATAATAAAACGAACTTATCTGTTGGAGGTATTTTGATAAGTGCTTATGGAAGTGCTGAGTTTTTTGCAAACCCAAGGTGCAGTACAAACTCTGATGGGCTCATCCTATATATTGATCCTTTCCCTTTACAGCCTGGTGGCTGATGTGGTGATATTCAACTCGGTTTTTAATATGGAGTCATTTCTCACTTCTATTGGAAAGTTTATGAAGCTGATTCCTGATCACAGACCCAAGGATCTGGAAAGCATCATCAGACCCAAGTGCCAAGTTATTTACTTTCCCATCAGGTTTCCTGATGTGAGCAGGTCAGTATGTTTGACTTTCCTTTGTCAAATTATTCCCCAACTGTACAGAAATTGGTGTTCTTCTCACCAATTTTAACTCTTCAGCATAAGCATGGTTAATTAGAGAATGGATTCCATTTCACCATGCTGTGAATTGCAAAGATTTTAAATAATCATTTGTCCAGCCTATCACTGAATGGTTAGTTCTGATACTGAGTTCTTCCTCTCTTTGCTCTTATTTAGTTGTTTGCTAAAATGAGCTATTTTGACTTTTAACACTTACTGTTGGGGTTCTTTATTTGTTGTTTTGTTAAAGAAGTCATTGTCGAGTGTATTTCTCAACCTTTGCATTCAGCTTATGCCCATTGATTTATGTGTATCATAGTAACCATTCTAAGAAAATCAATGGTAAATGTTACTGCTTGGATTACTTTCATTTTCCATGCTACTTTCACTACTCTTTTCCCTTCTTCCATTTCTTTATTTTTTTTATTATTATTTATATTATCTTAATAAAGAGTTGGGTCACAAAAGCACTTAATTGCCATTTCTCTTTCTCAGTTACTAAGGACATTCTTTATTACCCTCGTTGCTAGGCCCACCCTGAATTAACAACGTGGCTCAAAGGGAACATTTTAGAATTCCTTTTCGTTTTTGATTAAACCTAGCAAAATTGTTTTTACTACCACCAGAAGTATTTCTCCCTTGTGAATAGTAAGTTTGCTTCGGTGGGACTCACACGAGCTGGGGATGCTGCTGTTTTGTAACTGGCTATGTCCTTAAAAAGAGTTCAGGGACAGCCGTGTCTTGCCTGTCCTTGAAAGGAGGCAGGAAACCATTTATGTCCACACATGCTCTGCAGGGAGTGAGCACTACTGTGTTGTGGACTTACTGAGTTCCCCCGGAGTTTGCTGGGGGGACAGTTGTCTTCCTCCACAGCCCTCACACTGGTTTATTTGACTATCTCAGCAGTAAATATTTCATTGAAGAAAAATCTGCCTAATACAAAGTCAAGTAAGTGAGTCAAAATTTCAGTTAAGACCCCTTGCCCGATCCTTACTTTAGGGAGCTCAGCAAACAGGTGCAGAGAAGCGGCCACTGTCCTGCACTCACGCAGCTGGTTGTTGCCATGGGCTGGATTAAAGTTTAGACCCTATGAGTTTTGATTTAATTTTCTGTTGCCGTCCAAGCTTCCTGTCAATGATTTGTCAAAAACATTTAATGATTCATTTACAGTTCTGAATATTATCAAGCTAAGTGAAACTAAGATGACGATCGATTTTCAGCTATATGTACATGCATATATAATATGTATCTGTATAAATACAATTTTCTTATGTATGATGAGAGGATTTCAACTTTTGAAAACTATAGTTGTTATACTTTAGATCCATGATTAACTCGAACACAGCTTATACGTTAGAGCATATTTTTAAACTATGAACCTTATTTTTGACATGCTTATGAGCTTTTTATATAATATACAGTCAAAATATACATCTTTAAGGTGAATAGGTGGTTATAGAACATCTTAAGTATTACTGCTATAGAATTCCAAATAAATAATGTTTTAAATTCATTTGCATATGATATATTCCTCCATCATCATATGTTTAATACACCTGTGGCAATTGAATAGTTTATTAATTTGGACTGTATTACCATAAATACATCTAGCTAAATGGAAGAAGGTTAAGAAATATTGTGGCCAAGATAACATTCATAAGCAAGGTCTTAGCCCAGAGTGTTATTTGAATTATTTTCAAATGGTAATTTGCTTTATCCAACCCAAACTCATATAGTGTAAGTAAGTGATTATTTGCATGAATGACAATCATTCTAATGCCTGCAGTCTTAAAAGAGTATTATTTTGTTGAGATGTTGAAAAATACTTAGTAATTCCAAAGGCAAAATAACTGACGTGATTAAAAAAAATACAAACACAATTTTTGAATGCTTATATCTTTCTCCCTGTACCAATATTACTTGGTCACGGCAAAAATGAGTTTATGTAAAAACAAAGCAGAAGATACCATTAAATTATTAATACAATGTGCTATAATAATATATAATAATGGATATTAATCAGGGGAGGGAAAGAGCTGTATTTCAGCAAAATATGTGAGGCTTTATACTGCTGATAACTGTTAAAACTCAGAGCACATCTGTCACCTAGGAATTTGGTAGCATTTGGCTCGTGGCACCTGCTGTTGCCTAATGCCCTCCTCACCCCCACTGCTTCATTCTCAAAGACTAGAGCAGTATAGTATACGGAAAGAATATCTACTTAAAAATATTTCATTATGTGTATTAAGCATTTGGGGATAGGAAATCCCTTAAACACTCCGGTTGCACATGCTTGTATTTGAGTCTTAACCACCTTGCTAGCTCTGGGACCTGTATGAGTGAAATGACCCTGAGCTTAGGTTCTTTAAAGGTCATGATTATTTTTACCGTATCACCTCATAGGTATGATGTAGTGACTAAACAAATTGCATAGTGACTGGCGTACAGGAGACTCCCAGTAAAGATGAATTCATCTTATTAACACCCCACCCCATTGTTTTATAACCTGGCACATTTATTGCCACCTGAATATAAAGGACAGTTTTCTCCTCCCTTTATTAATCAACACATAAAAATAGAGAGGTAGTAAAAAAAAAAGAGAAAGAGAGAAGTATCCTGCCAAAGGCGCAGCCGAATGTAAATGAAAATATTAATTTCTTTATTCTCTTTATCACTCTGGCTCAGTCTTTTGACCTTGCCAGAGTCTGCCCCCCTGACTGAGCCAACTCCTTACTTTCATTCTTCGGTTGCCCTAATTTTCCCCCTCCGTTCTCCAGGCTAATTTCCATATTCTGTTATAACACTTACTCTCTTGCACATACTCTCAAGTCTTTTGCACCCTTTCCTTCGTACTGGATTAGGAGAAGACATCCGGCCCTACCTAGTAGTCTGCTCTAACTTTGTGACTCCTGGATTCAGATGGAACCTTTGATCTGCCCGGGAAGCCCGCCTCTTTAAAATAACTAATCATGCATTTTCCTTTCTTTGTAAACTTCTAGTAGTATATCTTCCGCCTTCGTTCTCAGATCGTAACTGAGAAAACAGAAGCGATGGAGCAGTCAGGTGAGAATCCTGTACTCCATGGCCGCCGCATCTATGCAGCTGTGCGCTTCTGGGGCATGGTCCCCGTCTCCACACCTGTTCGTGTGGGTGAACCCACGGTGCTGTCAGGGTCCTTCCTCTCCACTTCTTTGCCAGAGAGAGGCCACTCTTCTCCCAAACTTAAGGACTATTGTTCAAGCAGGTTTTCCTTCTCAATTCTACATCATCAGTTTCTCTTTCTTCTGGATCATTCCTCTTAGCATACAACAATGTTATTGGGTTTTGCATCTTTTAAAAAATTATCTCTTGATTCCACTACTCCCTTCTGCTACTGCTTCATTTCTTTCTCTCGGAGCAAGACTTCTTGAAAGAGTTGTTTCTATTATATTTGTTGTTTCTAATTTCATTCCTACTGTTCTCTCTTCAAGCTACTTCACGGAAACTGTTTTGTCAAGGTCGCCTGTGACCTCCGTGCCTCTGCATCCTGTGGTCAGTTCTCAGTCCTGATTTTACTTAGCATGTCAGCAGCAATCGACACACGATGACACGGCCTTCAGTTGGCTTCTAGGACACATAGGTTGCTGCTTTTCAGGCTTGTTGTTGGTTTCTTATTATTACCCTGTCCTTTAAATTTGGACTGGCCTTTGGCACTCTTAATACTTAAAGGGTTGGTAGAGGAAGAGCCAAGGACTGAAATGAGAAAAAAAGATAAATAAGTCAGGAGGTCAACAATGAGAGAATTATCTCGTGGAACAAAGGGAAGAGAGTGTTTTAAGGAGATGGTAAAGTAATGAAATCAGGAGTAACTTTAATAAAGTGGTGACTAGCATGTATCCTTGAATTTTTCAATTGAAGTGTCAGTGGTACCCCACCCTACATTTTGTTAACTCACAGAGAAGTTTCATATGTTCTTTCTGGTAGCCAGAGAAACCTAGGATTCAAGTCTGGATGAGATTTCTTTCTCTTTCTCTCTCTTTGTGGCTCTCTCTTTAACACACACACACACACACACACACACACACACACACACACACTGCTGCTTTTATGGATGAAGGCACCAAGGCCCAGAGAAGTTAAGTGTCTGCTGGTAATCACACAGCTAGATAAAGACAGAGCAGGAACTAGAACTCATATCTCCAAATCTCCATCTAGCGCTCAGCACACCACTGACTGCAGTGCAATTTCAGAGGTCTTGATTGTCTGATTGTTCAGCTGACAGCAGATTAACAACATCAAATTGGGGGTGCGATAAAAGCAGGCTCACTGACAGCAGTAAAAAGTGACAGCTGACTGACAGCTTGACAACAAGGGAGGAGAGAGATAAACTATTAAAAAAATACATGAGAAGTGAAAAAGCCTAGCAGCCTGCAGCCCCTCTATGGCAGGGCAGGCAGCTCTTGCACGTGGAAGAACCCCTGCCCGCGTTTGTTCATGATTGTCCAGCTTGTACATCAAAAGGACAACTGTGATCTTATTAAGAGAGAGTAAATGGCAGCCAGTAAATTCTGTTTAAGGATGTAAGGAGATGCATAAGCCACTTGGGCAGAAATTATAAATGACAGTAATCGAAGGTTAACTTCATGCCCTACTGTGGGGTATACAGGAGTCTTAGTTACCTAACGGAAGATAATAAACGTCTCAGCCCTTTCTCATGTGGTTGTGCTATCTGTAGCTTAGGGGACGAGGGAACGTTTCAACAAGCTCTGTTTTGTAGATCGTCCTGGTTGGAAGCTTTCCGTGGACCAGCCCTTTCTTTGCTGCTGGCATACAGGCACCTGCTTCTTCAGCACTGAAGGCAACAGGCCTGCCAGGCAGTCGGTGGTCAGCAAAACAGATTTTGCCATATTAATACCATGATACCATGCCTCAGCCTGGTTGGGGTACTATAACAGAATGCCGTAGACCGGGTGGCT